AGGTTTGTGTCATGAGGAGAGAATGAGATGGAAATGAACAAGACCGGGTTTTTTGAATTCAACCATTTCAAAAGCACTATGTCCAGTCAACAAATATGAGAGCCTTAATTCTCCAACACAAGCTAAGAGGAAATGGAAACGAAGAAGGGGCGTTCTGGCATTAAATGTGATGGTTTATACACATCACTCACTATATTATCCCAAGATATTAGTAGCATTAATGACAAAGAGAAAAACAATAAAACTTTAAAGTAAAGGAATCTTGCAGAGAGCCCCATAAACAAGTAATGAAGTTACCATCAGCTGTAAGGGAACAAATTAGCATCAGGTGTCAATGAACACACATGGCTGACAATCACCACTGAAATATGAGTAGAAAAAATTTAATCATAAGAAACAGCATCTGTAGGGTTAGCACAGGTGATAGCATGTCTTCAACTGGCCATATGAAGCCTGAGCTGAGAACCCCTTAGCAAAGTGCTATCTCTCAATTTTCAAATCCTTTGGGATTCTGGACCCCACTTAAATTAATGTGGTTCTGCAGGTTTGGAAGGGATCTATGAAGTGCCTTCTATGACAAGTCCCTCTTAAGGCAGATGATGCCCTACTCTCCCAGACCCATTAGCACCAGCACTCAGCTAGAGACAGCAGGGACAGCACACAAAGTACCCCGCATCCAACACTTGTAACACAACACCAATATCATCCTGAAGATTCACATTCTTTGCAGGCAACTGAAAGTTTACAGAGGACTGGAGCAGGCAGCAATGTCTGAGGGACTCTGCACGTGTAAAACAACATGAGCAGTGTGCTAGTCTAATGTGTACTGAGCAGCTACCACAGGGTCACAAGTATGTGACAGAGCCCTGTGGTGGGACCCCTAGTGTGAGTCAATCTTCACAATGCCCTGGGAGTCAGGTACTAAATGTCTGCTAATTACAAGCAGGATTCAGATTAAATAAATACCTGGTCTTGGCTCGGCACCCATGACTCAGTGAGTAGGGCGCCAGCAACATACACCAGGGCTGGTGGGTTCAAACCCAGCCCAGGCCTGCCAAACAACAATGACAATTACAACCAAAAAACCAGCTGGGTGTTGTGGTAGATGCCTATAGTCCCAGCTACTTGGGAGGCTGAGGCAAGAGAATCGCTTAAGCCCAAGAGTTTGAGGTTGCTGTAAGCTGTGACGTCATAACACCCTATGGAGGGTGACATAGTGAGACTCTGCCTAAAACAAAAACAAAACAAACAAACAAAAAAACCCTAGTCTTTACCTTTCCCTACTGTTTCTCTTCTGATATATAAACATAGATATATGTGCGTGAGTGTATATATATTTATATATAGTGAAATACAGACAGTAGCTGTACAGGAAAGAGTGGAGTGGTTGTTCAAAGGGAGTTTTTCTTCTTTTTGAGACAGAGTCTCACTATGTCGCCCTGGGTAGAGTGCTGTGTCCTCACAGCTCACAGCAAACTCAAATTCTATGGGCTTAAGTGATTCTCTTGCCTCAGCCTTCCAAGTAGCTGGGACTATAGGTGCCTGCTACGACGTCCAGCTATTTTTTTGTTTGTAGTTGTCACTGTTGTTTGGCAGGCCTGGGCTGGATTCGAACTCCCCATCTCTGGTGTATGTGGCTGATGCACTTGCCACTTAGCTACAGGCATGGAGCCCAGAGGGATTTTTTTCATTGCTGTCTATATTTACCTTTTTATGACCTGTAGAGCAGCTACTAAATCTGTGAGAGTAAAAGTCAGCTTGCTAGGTGAGATTATCTCCCAGGGGTCCTCAAACTTTTTAAACAGGGGGCCAGTTCACTGTCCCTCAGACTGTTGGAGGACTGGACTACAGTTCAAAAGGACAGGCAGCAGCGGCAAAAACACCCAGAGGGCTGGATAAATGTCCTCAGTGGGCCACATGTGGCCCGCAGGCCATAGTTTGAGGATGCCTGCTAGAAACCAAGGTCTTAATGAGAAAATAAAAGGGCCCCAAATATAAAGTCTTGTGTTTCTATTCACTTGTTTTTGTGTTTTAAAACCTTGTGAACACTAGATTTGGAAAAACAGCAGGAGCACCCATACAAAAGTCCAATGTCTTCTAGTCAGGGCTGTGGGTGAAGCTTTCAGGATACAGACAGACTTGGACCAGGGTCACAAAAGAATGGATCTGGACAGGGCTGGGGCAGGGAGCAGGCCCTGGGCTTCTCATCTCCACATGGCTTGTCTTTAATCCTACCCAAGAGAAATTTTACTCACAGTACTTGTTTGATTTTAATTTTTAAACACTATCCATATTTATAACTTATAACAACAAATAATTTAACCAATTTTCTAAAAAATATTACAAGTTTAATATTTATTTTTAACAACGTTAAAGCAATAGAAATAATAATCATAATGACAGCACTTCTGTTCATATATTGCCCTTCAGTGGTGACATCAGTATTCACAACAACATAAGGGACATGGTGCAAATGAAGCCCAACTCCCCTGTGTGCCTCCCTTCTTGGCGGAGAACACAAGATGCTAAGTGCAACCATTTATACACTTTTTTTCTGCAGTTTTT